TAAAAGTGATACTAGGAGTGGCCATAAAAATATTAGTAACTTAAACATAATGGGAATTTCTTTCTTTCTTCTAAAATAATTAGTGGAGGTATCCTAGAACTGATGTGACTTTTTACAACATCAGGGGCTCCTGGGCTCTGTCCGACTTTTTGCTGTACCAAACTCCGCATTTAACTTCCACCTCATGATTCATAGCTGCTTGAGCTCCAGCTATCATGTTTGCATTCTCACCAGTAGGAAAGAGGAAATGTTGGAAAAATGAGATTCTTCTTTCCTTTATGGGCATTTATTGAAAGCTGTGTATAACATCTYGGCTTACATATTGTTTAGCACTTAGTCACTTCTAGCTGCAGCAGAGGCTGAGAAATGTAGTCTACCCTGGGTAGTCTACCCTGGGTAACAGTGTGCCCAGATGAAAGTTAAAGATTCTGTTATTAAGAAAGAATAGGAGAATAAATATAGGAGATAACAAATAGTCCATATCATAGTGGAAAATAATACAAGCAAAAAAATGGGTTAAAAATGGTAATTTCTGGTGGTTTGACTAAATAGACTAAAAACTATAAACTTGAATAGGTAGAAAAAACATGTGCAGATAGTTTAGAGTTCTTAGAGCAATTCATAAAGGACACAATAAACAGTATTTATAAATTTCAATTTGATAGGACAAGGAACCATTGTAGGCCTTGAAGAACAGAAGGGGATTTAACTTAGTCACACAACTTAGCTTTCTTATTACTGAAAACAGCTGTTGATTGAAGATAATCCTTACTGCTTTGTGAATTGAAGAAGACAGGAATTGGAGGGAAGCTTTGTGAGAAACTTGTTTTAGTCCAGGCATAGGACCTACTCCAGGGTTATGGAAATGAGCGTACAGTAATGTTTAAAGATAGCTCAGCATATGGAGAGGCCATAGGGTAAATGGACAACATATTGGAGAAGGAAGGGAGAAATTGAAAATGACACCAGCATTTGAGTTAGAGAAAATAGAGATGAGAGATGGTATCTTACAGGTAAATTTCCATCAGAAGGAATTTAAAGATGTTTCTACATTAGTTACAGTGGAATGCAAAATTGAATGCATTGCTAGAAATCTGAATCCCAGGCTTTGGGATCTAGAGCTGAGACAGCTGCGCCTAGCTTCTTTGGTAAATTAGCAAGGGAAAAGAGGTACTTTGAAGAAGGTTTTATAAACATATCACCACCACCACCACCCCTGCCATTCCTGAATGTTTCCCCCAAATTTTAATTTGGGTAGATAGCTTGGGTGGTTTTTGTATGGATGATTTTGATTTTGAAGGAAGAGATGAGCTGAAGAATAATTGCTGCTTGATGGCAAAAAAGAAAACTACAAAAAGCACAATTACAACTTAGCTTCTCTGAGCTGTATGCATCAGAGATAGTCTCTTTTCTTAGAGGCAGTAATTATTATTAAAACTATCTCCAGAGACATTGCTTACAACTAGACCAGCAAAACATTACCCATGTTGGTCATCTAATTTTCCATAAAGAGCTCTTTAGTGGTACTATTATTTGCAGTACAGCTTTTTCTATACTAAGAAGGATTATTCTGGGCTACATTAAATGTAATAGCATTCTTCATCATGGAAATATTTTATTTCCCTGCAAATAGCATATGATTGCTGCTGAACCAAAAGTTATATTGTGAGGTTGTTGTCATGCTTGTATAATTCACACTCCTAATGGTGTGTTGCTACTTCCTACAGTTAACTTTGTACTAACAGTTGACATAGAGTCATGGGTTGGCTTATCACATGTAGACAAGATGACAAGATGACAGGGCTTATAATTGAAGTTGTGGTTGCTACTAAAACATTTGCACTTATGAATGTCAAGAAGTTGATTTTTTAAAATTTAAAAGTAAAAATGTACAAAARAGAAAAAAATCCAAAAATTTATGTTCTCTGACCTCAAACCAACCATTATTAACATCTTGGAATATTTGCTTTCAGTCTGCATCATTCTATTCTTGTAAAAACAATATAGCCTTATTATAAAGAATCAGTTACTTCCAACCTCATTACTTAATAGTCATCATAAATGTAGGGTGAACATAATTCTAGGCAAGCATACATATAGAGAGATGGATGGCATTGAGAGATGGGTAGTTAGAAGTTATTTTTGTAAAAACAGTGTACTACATGCTATTTTTTAAGTAAACAATATTAAAGGGCTACTTCTAGCAGTAAAATTAACTAGGAGCTCCCTCTATTGCACAATAGCCAAAAGCTGCAAATGACAACATTATCTGGGGCATTATTGCCTCATAATAAGAGCTATGAGAATTCTCCAAGGATCTTTTCTTCCAAAAATTTTAATGTGATGGTTTGGATATGAGACATCCTTTAAAAGCTCATGGTGCAGTGCAGGAATGTTCAGAGGCGAAATAATTAGATTATGAGATCTATAATCTAACCAAATGGATTATTCGTTGGTGTACTGTAGGCAGGTGGGGTTTGGTTGAAGGAAGTGGGACATCGGGGGCATGCTCTTGGGGATTATATCTTGTCTCTGCTTCCTAGCTGCCATGAACTGAACAGCTGTCTTATGTCATGCCCTTCTGCCATGTGTTCTGCCTCACCTTGGGCCCAGA